CCTGTAACTGGATTTGAAAGCAAAAGTATATTTAGGTTTTATTCAGATCCACTGCCACTACTTTCTGACAGTGAAAGAGCAAGATAGGTAACAAAATGAGATTAAAAAAAAGGACCTACCGTGTCTCTTAAAGATGCGGATAATGGTGTCACACACATGCTGCTGTATCTTGGCTGCACGGATAGAGAAGCTGCCCTAAAATATGATCAAGACCATTGAAGTACCACACCAAGAGGGAAAACAATTTCCCCCTCTAAAAGAATATTGCGTTGGTTGGTGGTATTACACCATTCATTTGTAGAATCAAGGAACAAGGTTTCATAGAGTCATCGTGTTTCCAAACATCTTTAGGGAAGGGGGTTCTAGCATCTTTTCTCTTGTTTCATAATGATCCGTACTCTAAACAGGGGTCATAGTAAGTCACAATTTTCACAAAAACAGAAGTTCATAACATGCAAACAACTATGTACAATCAAGCCATAGGTAGGATGAACTGGAAAAAATCACCAGAAGGAAGCCCTAGAATTACAGTGATCAGGAGAGTCTTCCTTCGCTGGGAAAGGAAGAAGGCAGAAGGTGGGATTTCAGCTGGGTCTTGAAGGAAAGCTGGAAAACCAAGAGGTGGAGATGAGGAGGGAGAGCACTCCAGCTGTGCAGGATAACAAATGAACATGCCCAGAGTCGAGAGATAGAGTGTCTTATTGTAGGAACAGCAAGGATGCCAGCGTCACTGGGTCACAAAGTATGTGGGCAGATGTTAGAAGACTGGTAAGGTGTGGGGGAGGGGGAGAAAGGAGGAACAAGGTGTGAAGGGCTTTGAATGCCAAACAGAAGATTTTATATTTGATCCTAGAGGTGACAGGGAGGCGATGGAATTTACTGAGCGGGGGGTGACATGGTCAGACCTCTTCTTTAAGATCATTCTGACAGCAAAGTGGAGCATAAGCTTGAGTGGGGAGAGACTCGAAGCAGGGAGACCTACCAGCACGGTGGTGGTAACATGATTTCCTCTTTATCTATCAGGTTACTGGGGTGGGAGACTGGCAATAGCTGTAGAGAAAGCTTCTATGTTTGGGGGACTTCAGGCCCCTAGTTCCCAAATAGATGCCACCAGATCCCTGGAAAACACCCTGGTATGTGTATCCTATCCTACTATCTGCATATTCTATGTTGTTTCCATTTAGATTCTAAACCTTTAAGGGGAAATTACCAAGGGGTCTTCTAATTTTATATAATGGTAAGTCAATTCAGCACACTTTAGCACAAAAAAACCCCTTCAAACTATAAGCCGCAAGACTACCTTCAGGACCATATATTTAAGGTAAATCAACTGAAGTAACATGGGGAAAAGGTGGGTGTAATAAAGCCCTATAAAACCAAAGTAGAAACTCAAGAATGTAAGCAACCTGATAAAAATGTGGGAGGAGGTTGGTGCTCAGCTAACTTCTGAATAGGCTTGAAGAGTCAGAGAACTGGGTGGTCTTTGTGATCCCTTAACATAAAGAGAAGAAAATAAAATGTTTTGCTTGCATTGGACTATGTGATCTCTAAGGTTCTTTGTAGCTCTGTATGGTCTTAAGTACAAGCAATTGTGAAACCTCTTTGGCAAACAGGATATATCCATCAGACCAATTTTTTCTGCATATACAAGGACCCAAATCTATTTAAACATACATCTTATATTAAAGCAGTCTTACAAATAGCTTTCTAAAACTAACAGGCAAAAGAAAAAAAAGTGGTCCCTAAAATCTACATTGACTCCATACTCACTATTACATTTCTTCCAACCCAAATCTACCTCTTTTTATTACTCCATATATCAGCACATAGGAAATAAACTCATTCTCAAAATTGATTCCATGAAAACCAAACCAAAAGTGAAAAGAACAAATAGGCATAGTACATTAAATTTATTTTAGGTCCACTATTTAGTTTGAATTAGAATTGCCCAGATGTTTTAAGATTTGGGTATTTTGGCTAATGCTTATTATTACAGCTGCATTAAAGTACCTTTTCAGTAACAGCCATCTGATTTAGTGCTATTCAAGATGACTTAGAATTTTCTGAATCTAGCCTGTGTTTGGTTAAATATGTACTATGAGAGCTGTAAACTCACAGTTTTTAATCTCACCTTCAATATGTCACTGTCATATGTGTAGTCGATGGCAGGGGAGATGCGCTGGGAAAAGATCTGGCCCATCATGGTCCGGTAGGCTTTGCCATCAACGTTGGCCAGGGTGTGGTGGAGAACTTCGTGCAGTTCAGACTCCTCTAGCTGGGGTGGGGGAAGCAGCTCACTCTTCAGCAGCTCTGTGGCAGTGGGTCGCTTTGCTGGATCGTGGTTCAATAGCCAGGAAATGACAGATTTCTACAACCAAAGCCCATGGACATGGTTACTATAAATTAGTGAAGAACAAGTATCTATAATGTCTTATAATTTTTTTTTCACCTGAGCCACACCAAAGAGATCTTTGTTGCATTTAGTATAATTTTAATTGGGTTTTTGCAACCTTTGGTATACTATTATTTATGTGTCACATACCTCACTGTTAAATATAATATAGACATTCTATAAATAGTAATTTATTAGAATGCTGGATGCTCTTTGAAACTTTTGACAATAAAAACAATTACAGAAGACCAGAACACTTAAAGGCAATCTACACACTATCAATAAACTAAAGGGAGTATAAATTCCATAAAATAAAACATTCTTACCATTGTATGTTATGACGTACTGTAGCTACTGGAATTCCTAACGTAGGTAAAACAACCTGTGACAATATACTTCAATTTTGTTATTACTTTTCCAAGCATAAGAAAAAAATTAAAACTTAAAAAGTTTAAACTTAACCAGTAATCTCTAGCTTTCTCAGTAGAGGGATGGGACTTTCTGCCTGAACTGGGATTTTCAGGGCCATTTTTCTCTTGGTGATGCTGCCACCCATTTTCTAACCCTATAGTACTTTAAGTGGTGTTCAGCAGTAAAAGGAAGCTCAGAGAAATAGTTAGAGTTGATCCACACCTTTTTGCAGGGCACCTTCCTTTTGTTTATGGGGAGATAAGACTTACCTTTGAAGAACAGAGGAGGTTCATAAAGCATTTTACAGTTTCATAGCCTACCCAAGTAAATAACTCCTCATTTCCACTAAAATTTAGTTGTTTTGAGTTGAGACTGAATTACTGCAGCTAACCATGTGTAGTCTTAGGAAGCATTTTTATATTAGGGTATGCTGAATTGATTTAGTGAGATTTTCTGAGAATTTACATAGTGTAAAATTCATAGAAATAATAAACTAGCTTTTCCAACAAAACCCAGACCTTGCCTATTTTTTATGTATGGAAAAAAATTCCTTTTATTGCATACATGTACCTTGTCCTACTATCTGCATATTCTATGTTGTTTCCATTTAGATTCTAAACCCTTAAGGGGAAATTACCAGGTGGTCTTCTAATTTTGTACAATGTTAAGTTAATTCAGCACACTTTAGTACAAAAAACACTTTAAACTATAAGCTGCAAGATTACCTTCAGGACCATATACTTAAGAGTATTTAATAAATATCAGAAATAGACTCTTGGGCCGAGAAGGAATCTTAGTTGGCTAGTTTAACCCTTTTGTCCAATAGATAAGAAAAGTGAGGCCTATAAAGATGAAATGATTTGTTCAAATTCTAGTGTCCAAAGTCACACAACTAATTATCTTTCCAATGATAGTGATATAATCATCCTTATGAAATGGTCATTTATTGGAAATGTTTCCTAACATCTCTCACAGTATCTATAAGCTAGGAAGAATAGTTGGCACAGTCATTAATTATGGTTCTGTTTCTAATTCTATTAGGGACAGTAGCCTGTTAACTTGAGTAAGATCCTATGCTATAACACACACACATATACACACACACACATTTCATCAGTGGGAGCTGGAGGTGAGGAACTTTCTCCATCAATGCAGATGAGTACCCTCCAGATGAATTCTGGTCTTAGGGACACTGAAAGATTAAGTGTCTTGCTGAGGGTCATATAGTTAGTAGCTATCAGAAGCAGAAAATGAACCCAGGTCTCTGAGGCTAGCTCTTTATCCATTTCACCACACTGCCTCTTATGTCTTAATAATTTCTTTAAAAATAATAAAATGAGCCTGGATTTTCTGTAGGAAATGTAAGAGGTATGAAGTTCACATATACTTATGAATTCAAACAACTAATCAACATTAGTAAAAGCATATGATCCCAGCTAATAAAAGTGTAAACATGATTTTTAATGTTTTTCTAACAGTTCTTTATTGGTGTAGTCCTCAATCATAATACATAAATACCATAACAAATAGCACATCAGAAGTAGAAAAATGCTAACAAGTTGAATGCTGGTGACCTATTTTGGTTGCTGTTTTCAAAGGGCTGTTGTCTCTCCCAAAATGTGGATCAAACCTTAGCAAAGCAAAACAAAACAAAAAAAAATCCCCTTGCAATAAGAAAAGGAATCACTGCAGAAACTATTACTTATATCCATAATTAGCCTTAGAAAGAAAGAGATGAATTGATGTACAATACATGAAATTCCAGATCATTCTTTTTCCACAGTAGCTGGCATTCAGTCTTTCGCTGTGACTGCATTATATATACTGTGTCATATATGAACATAATTATATTTGAAAATGTTCTAATATGAGCTTGTCAGAAGCTTGAATGTTGTTTTCTTCTCACTAAGCTATTTAAAACCTGAAATCCAACATAATTAAAATTTTAAATGATGTTTTTCTTTCCTATAAAGGCCCAGGTTTTATCTGAAACGAAGAGCTGTAAAAGTACTTTCTTCACTGCAGCAGTTAAGTCTAGGGTTTAAACAGTACTTCATAGGCACAAAGAGCTACACAAAAGAATCCAGCAGCTTGTTAATTCACTATGCCAACGCTTGATTTTTTTTATCATGTATTTAAATTTCAATAATGTTTTAAATGCTTTATCTTTCAGTATTTCTTTTTTACTTTGTTCCAGGAACACAAGAGAATGACTGGCACAGATTACTAATTGAAGAAGAAAAATAACAATTAAAACTCAAGACTAAAGACATTATAATTAAAGCATCTGAAAATTACCTGCTTCGTATGTTCTGCATCATCAAAATCTTCTGGAAACTTGGGAGAAGTAGGCTAAAAGGATAATTATATTCGAATTAGCAAATAAATACAGCAAACACTTGGCAAACTACCATAATTAAAACATTTGTTCACCAGAAGTGAAAAAAAAATGCTAGCACAGAAGTGACAAGCTAGTAAGAAAAGGATAAGCTGAGAACCATCTTGAAATCTGATACACATTCTGTCTTTACATTTTAAAATTTCTTACTCATATAAAAATTACTTAGAATAACACTGCTTATTAAGGAACATCATAGATCACTGAATATCTTAGAACCTCCAAGTCATTTAAAATGACCAGAAAGGTCTGCATTGTTTCCATTACCAGAGGGGTACAATATTTTTATTTTTTAAAATCACAAGAAGAGACACTAAGAGGTAATCATTCACAATGAAAGTACCTATAATACATTCAACTTTTCTGGCTAATAATACTACATTGATATCATTAAAATAAAAATGCAGATATACTTAAAATGAAGGAACAATGTGCTGCTGAATTGAAAGTACTACATCCTAATTATTAAGGACCCCAACTTTGCACAAAACACCCTCAGTTAAAGCAGTAACAATATGACAACTTTATTTACTCCAGGAGGGTATAGATACAGCTTTAAAAACTGCAGTAAAGTAGCCCAGGTTTTGTAAACAGTTATCTCTTAGGTGAAAAGCAGGAAGATGGTTCTAAGTACAATGTACTTTTTTACTTACAAGGTGCTATTTCATATAAAGCAACAGACCTCTTGCCTCTGCTTTATTCTTCGTGGAAATAAAGACAAACACTCTAAGTTGCCTCTGTACCTCACAAAACAGCTACTTTACATTTTGATTCCCTTTGCTCATCATGCCTTTCTGGACAGAGGTCAACCCAGCCAAATCCCATCTTCTGTCAGATCCTGACACTATTCTCTCATGTGTACCCAGGGCATTTATTGATGGCAGCCCTTAAGAGAATCCTAGCAAGCATGAAGATTGAGGCAAACTCATACTATCAGACAAAAGAAGAAAGCAAATGAAAATGTAGTTGGATAAAATGCAACATCTGATCCAAACTGCGGATTCTTTTCACTCCCTCTCTCGCTGCTGTCTCTGTATTGCCCCAAACTTTTTTTTTAAAATTATGTTTATGCTCATTAATACTAACCTTGCATTTACAAATTTTTAAGGTCCACAAGGTGCTATCCTCACAGTAACTATCTTAAAGAGGTAGTATAATTATATATTCATTTCACAGATGAAGAAGCTCAGACTCATACAGTTTAAGCACTTTGCCCGAGTTCATAAAGCTAGGAAGAGTCAGGGCCAAGTGTCCTGACCAAGTCTAGCCTCTTTCTTCTGCACTAGGAATCAATACCCTGTCTGTCTACCTAATTCTCTCCTCCTTCCCACATCCCTTTCTAATAGCTGTGAAAACAATTAAGTCTCCACCTAAAAGCTTAATTCCATGTGGATGTGCCTAGTTGCCAGGGTAAGTTTTAGTACTATGCACATGATTCTTACCACATGAAGTGCCCTTACCATTTCTGTAGATCTACTCTCTTTTTATTTATTAATTTTTTTAAAAAAAATTAATTTTATTTTTTGTTACATTTTAAGTTCTGAACTATCTCCTTCCCTCCCTCCCTCACACTAGAGAAGGCTACCATTTGACATATATATACATATATGTAAAACCATACTATGCATATTTCTATCCATCCATTCTTCTCTGGAGGTAGATAGCATCTTCCTTCATTGGTCCTTTGTAGTTGATTAGAGTATTCATAATACTCGGAATAACTTAGTTGTTCACAGTTGTTTTTCAAACAATACTGCTGTTACCGTATACCACGTTCTCTTGGTGCTGTTCATTTCATACTCGATTATTTCATGCAAGTTTTCCCATATGTTCCCATGTGAACTCAACCTGCTCATTATTTCTCGCAGCACAGTAGTAGTCCATCACAATCACATACCACAATTTGTTTGGCCATTTCCCAATTGACAGGCATCTCTTCAACTTCCACTTCTTTGCCACCACAAAGAGAGCTGCTATAAATATTTTAGAATATGTAGGTTCTTTTCCTTCTCCCCGATCACCTTGGGAAACATTCCTAATAGTGGTAATGCCAGGCCAAAGGGTATACACAGTTTTAGAACTCTGGGCATAATTTCTGATTGCTTTCCAATTAGATCTACTCCCAATATGATCTGAGTCAAATATAAAGTGGTGGAAATAGAAACACTGGAGGGAAGTGGCAATGTTACTGCTGATGCTGCCATAAGAATGAAGAGTTCCAGTGATTGTTCCCTGCTTGAGATAGTTCATTGTAAAGGACACTTGCTAAGGCTGACATGCCTTAATAATTAAGTCCTTTTATTTATGGTGGGAACTTTTTTCATATGTTTAAATACAAAAAAAGATATGTTGTCATATATGTAAACCTCATGTGTTAATAACCTAGGTTAGTGGGGCTCATTTAGGGGGTGAAATCATTGATTCATACTTCTCTGAGTTGACTGAGAATAAAGATCCTTTCTGATGCAGTAACCATGGGATGATAGGACATTTCAAAGAAGATGATGCCCAGGCTGAAAAGATCTACTTTCTATGGGAGAAAAAAAAATGGAATTATAAATAATTTACTTGTATTCAGTTTTGACTTGTGATCAAAGTACACTTTCTTAAGAAATTGTAGGATAAGCATTAAATGGCCAAAAAAAATAGAGAGAGATTAAAAAAAGAAGTCATGGCACAGAAATCTATCTGCTCAGACAGTTCACAAAACAAAAGAATAAAAACATAAACAAAATGTTCCATGTTTAGCCTGTGAAGCATTTGATCTAGTTCATCTGAACACTTTACTGGTAAAACTAATTCTAACTGGCTTTTGTATATTCACTGTCAGACTAAAATGGCTAAAAATTTCAAATCTTGGATACTGATAAAGAACAACAGAGCTGCTATAACAAGTGTTGCTTTGGGTAACACCTTAATTTATTAATCATCTGATGCAGGACACTGAGTGAAAATTTAAAGTCACTCTAAGTGGCCAGGGGGTTGCAAGGTCATTCTAGTATTGGTAGTAGAATGTTAGCTCCCTGACCAACACTGCCTTTTGTAATTGCATACCTAATGCCTAGCATAGTGCCTGGTGCATAGCAGGCACTTGATAACGCTTATGGGTTGACTGATTAATGCAATAATAAGAACTTTAAAACAGTACAGTGGATCAGGAAAAGCCTCATGATTAGCTCAAAGAAAATAAATGAAAATTCAGTTAGAAAAAGTACTTAGCAAACATTTGATAGAAAAGAATCCAAAAGAGCATTGATACTGACAGGATGAAATTCAGAAAGCAGTCTTACTAAAGGATATACAGATGATAATGTAAACTAATTCACTGTATCCTACGGTTGCTGAAAATTTTCATCACTTTATTTTTCAACAAAATTAAATAGCAAGGAAACACATATCCTGCTTTTCAGAAAGCTATTAAGATAAATCTTATTCTAAGCACTAGCAAAAAGTTCCTCTTAAACCGGCTTAGATGACCTCTGAGGGCGTGTGTGTGTGTGTGTGTGTGTGTGTGTGTGTGTGTGTGTGTGTGTGTGTGTGTGTGTGTATCTCCTCCTACAAGTAAAACCTAGTTTTGAACTATTATTATAAGGCTGAGAAAATGATTCTTGATTCAAGCCCTTCATCTAAAATGGTTTAGCTAGCAGTGTAACATTTTTTACAAGGAAATGTGCTCAAGTTGAAGAATTTACAGAAATTTTGAGATTTTTGACAGAAAAGTTATAAAATGCCAAGGAAACATCTGAAAACATCTCAATTTAACATGCATGCACAGGTCAAAATTTAAGTGGATAAAGTTTCTGTCTTCACAAAGTCTCGCATGTTGACAGTATATACTGAATCAATTCACAGTATCGTAACACTAAAAAACAAACAGGAACTGTCCAAACTAGCAAATTCAAAAACAGAACATTTGAGAATGGCCCCAAAGTGATGTTACCTTTTAAGCTCATAATATTATCTCACTCTTGAAACTTTCTTTGCTTTTCAACAAAAATAAAAGGCTCCCTTTTACATTACCTGGTTATATGAAGATTTAGTGCTTCCTTGGACTTCTGGGCTTACGTACAATGCTGTGCCGACCATTCCAGTTAAATTATCTGTGTGGTTGGGGACAGAAAAAAAGCTTTACATGATAGGAGTTCTATGGACAAGGAAGAAGAACCTACAAAAAGGGGATTAACTAACAGTGATGAACTGAGTATAATTAATTATTGATAATCCACACTGATGGATTTTTTATGCATGGTACAAAAGATCATCCATATATCCCTTGTATAGTTAATTACTGACATTCTTCATACTCTATTCTAGGATGCCTTCTTACTCAAGCAAAAGGGAGGCAGCTCCAGATAGGCTAATGTTTTCTATCAACTGAATATGTTCTTAGGAGAAAACCCTTTAGATCGGCCAAACTGATCAGGCAGTCTGCCTTCACTGATGTACACAGCAACAGATAAAGAAACTCTACCAATGTAGGTCTGTAGCCATTGTGCAACTGACAGCCTGGGTGAGCTGCCTGGGTCACTGAGAGGGTAAGATGACTTACCCAGGGCACCACTGTCAGTTTTCGTTAGACATAGGACTCGAACCCAGCTCTTCTGAATCTTGGCCAACACTTTACCCACCACACCCTCATTGCCATTCAACCACATTAAGCTCCTTTTTCTAATGATGCACTGAAAGACAATTATCAGTGCAGAGGAAATGGCATTTGATGTAAAAAAAAATCAGTGATGAAAACATGCAGCTTTCCTTGTTTACCTGAAGGGTAAGATTTAACTAGGTGATCAGCTCCCCGATCTTCTTGTTTGGTATCAGCCTAAAACACAAGGAACCCAAAGATTAGGATGTCACAGCATTTGTCACTGATTACTGTCTTTTGCATATTTCATGGCT